TGTTTATTATTATACTATTATTTATTTAATTTCTTATGTTTTATTTTATATATATATATATATATATATACCATCATTAAACACTTCCAGAGGTACTAAATTATATGGATACCCATAGAGGCTGATGAACGAAATAATTTGTATGTTAACGATAAAATTGATGTTAAATGTGAGATCATAGAGTGGTGCCTCAGTGGCATTCCTCCAAAGCAATAAATATAACATTGTGCTCATCACAGAAAATCTCTACAGGCGTTACAGAATCTGTTAAGTATGCGAATAGTGCAAAGACAATTCAACTTCAAATCTATGGAGAAAAAAGCAGAAAACTGAAGAATGCAGTTCGACATAAAGACTCGAGAAGCAGCTCGTTGAGCTTGTAAACAACTATACCTACTTGGGACAAACAATACAAATGATTAACGAGTAAGTGGGACTTAAGCAAAAAAGAGCATGATAGTTGGCTTTCATCAAGTTACAAGACCAATTTATTTATAATCGCCTGCAGCACCTCTTTTTATAGAAAAGGAAAGCGTGTAAAAAGTTTTATCCCCTCATTTTTGTTTTGTTTGACGCGTTTTATTCTAACATTTTTGTCGTTCCTACCTTTACAAATGTAGTTTTTTAACTTTTTTTTTCGATGAAAGGACAAGAAGAGACGACTCGAGCAGCATGAACATCACGGATTCACCGGAAGAATAGACGATAAATGCTGGATTAAAAGAATCACCTGAATTGCGGGATGCACCGGGCGACGATGCCTATTGGCGAGGGCACCGGTTGCAACACCGGGCGAAGGCGATGCTATCTTCGCCGAGCCACCGAGCACCGGTGGCGGATCGTTCCAGCCGGGTGTCGAGCATGACGAAAGCGGCGACGAGTAGGACATCAAACGCAGCCCCCCAGCAAGCACACCTGAAACAGAAAACAACTTCAACCTGGTACACCAGTCAGAGTACCAATTCTACAACAGCGTCAACGTATTCTGCCACCCACCAATACGGCTACAGCGAATGATCGAATTTATCATTATTATCTTTTCAATAATTACAACGATGAAGATAAATGTGTCAGTGATGATAAAGATGACAATGATAAACCAGTCTGGAATGCAGCAGGCTTGCCGATGTGACCATGCGTTTTTGCACCAGATTCGAAGTACTTAGGTCACTAACTGCACGAATGGTTGTTGCTTTACACCTATCTTGTGTGTTCGCTAGCGTAAATCATCGTAAATTTTGCATAAATGAAGTGAACAATTTCCGTTTAACGGCCGTTCTTTAAAAATGACTTAGCTGTTCAGTGAGCACATTTCCCGCCAAAATGATGATGATTATAAAGATGGTAAAAGCGACAGTAATAGTGATAACAACATTTATGAATAGTGCACAGTGTGTTTCGATAAACCTATCTGATGCATACCTAGAGAAACAGCGAGTGGTGATAAATTTGTAACAAAGCGGTAACAAAGGCGAGACTGATAGAGTTAATGATAATGATTAAGAACGTAAAAATAATAACAATAATGACAGTAACAATAATGATAATGATAAAAGTCGTTGGTAATAAATATGGTGACGATCCCGGCTCGGGTGGTTCCCTGGAAGCAGATCCGTGTACTGCCACAAGAGCAGCAGTTGCTTCTCAAGGGGAGATATGCAATTGAAACACGGCCTTCCGACGTGAGATAACGCACCCCAAACGAGAATGCGCGAATGAGTCGAACAAGAAGTACTCGAGAAGCGAATAATGGCCTGGCTGAATGTGCAATCCCCTTCCCTCTTTCTCTGCCATGGATCTAACCCTCAGGTAATGCTCCACAAGGAGACGGGACTGGGAGCCAAAGAGTGAAGAAAATATAGAGCCCCTCCGTGAAGTTAAAGAGGCAACGACTGTAGTAAATTCGTCCCCCCCCTCCCCCTCCCCCCTTCCCTGGGTAGGGTGACGTGTACTTGCTCTCGGGTCTCAATTCGAGTTGCGAAAATCGTTATACCGGGTTTCTGGCTT